ATTTGAAGAACTAACTAAATGAATAATTTTTATTAATACGGAGGAGATGGATTGTTTAAGTTTAGACTTTGGAGTTAGAGATATTAATATTTGTTTACTTGTATTTGAATATCAGCCTAGGTTGGTTTGGGAAGTCCGGGGGGTGGGGGGATGGGATATAACATTGTGTAATATCTGTGATGTATTTCTTTTTTTTTTTTATGATAAAAATAAAAATTTTATATTGAAAAAAAAAAAAAAAAAATTTCTTAGAAAAGAGATTCAGGTACCTTGACAATTGCAAGGTGAATTGATTTGATTACAGGAGCAATGGATGCACCATTGGGAGACTTGAAGTGCCAGGTTGGGTACAGATGGTTCTGAAGAAGGTCTATGTGGCCATTAACACTCGTCACCAATTTGATGGTGCATACTCAATCAGTTGGATATCATTTCTCTCTCCCTCCCTCCCTCCCTCCCTAAGAGATTTGGATGAGACAAAATAAAGCATTTCTTCATAGAATGCATAATCAAGGGTGGAATTTGTAGCCATCAGACACGTTTGCATGGCTTTATAGAGAATTGATTAGTCTTGAAGTTTCATTGTTATCTCTGAGTTGGGTGCAACACACTTTCAAATACCTATTGCAGGTGAAAAAATCACAGGAGTCAACCATCTCTCAGTTGTTGCACTTCAGAAGTGTTTGGTCATTATGAGAAGCAGTGTTCTTACATAACCTGGCAGTGTTCCAGGATATGGAGAATACAAATCTCATATGAGACTCAGGCTGGTTGAGTGGTTAAGGTGTTGGGTTAGGAGCTGGGAGAGCCTGGTTCAAGTTGTCACTTAAACATGGAAGTCAATTGAATGACCTTAGACCAGGGATCTTCAAACTTGGCCCTTTTATGACTTGTGGACTTCAACTCCCAGAATTCCTCAGCCAGGCACACTGGCTGAGGAATTCTAGGAGTTGAAGTCCACAAGTCATAAAAGGGCCAAGTTTGAAGACCCCTGCCTTAAACCAGTCCCAAGCTGGGGCCACCACAACTCAACATCAGACTCTGCAACATACTGGCTGGAAAACAAAATCCCTTGTCACAACAAGTGCTGAGTAACTTCCTTGTAAAACTAGGTGGGTTCAGTGAAAAACAAGTGGCCCTGGCAAATTAGTGAGATAAATAATAAAACAACTGTTATGGCTTCATAATTTGGCTTTTCAATAAATCTGGAGTTTCAATAAATCTTGTTGGGAGGGATGATAGTTTTGGTTCACTCTTGTTACTATGATTGCATTTTTAATTGGGTTTTAATTGTGTTGCTCTTATTTATTGGAATGCAAAGTTGGATCACTCAAGAGATTTCAGGATTTGCAAAAGCCTTTGCACATTTATTCTTTTGAAGGAAAATAAGGATGAAATCAATATTTATTTTTGTTTGGTATTTTAAAGACTGTTTGAAAACTTCTACTTTGGATTGAGTTTCTATGTGGTCTCAGACTGTTGATGGTCTCAAACATAATGCAAGTTAATATTTAAAAGCTTTTACACTATACATTGTTGGGCTGTCCTACTGTATTCTCAGCGATAATTTCTAATCCACTTCGAAGAAGTCTTTTAAGCAGAAACTCCTTTTATGTAGCCTTTTCTAGATCCTTTTATGTCACCTTGGTCAAGCTCAGGCTAGAAATCTGATTGCCTAACAATTATTCGGAAATGAGCTGCAGTTTAATTTGAACCAACTGCCCAGTTTTTGTAGGGTATTAAAAACTTTTAATCAAAGAGGCATGGTTGCTCCCTATCGTTTACTCCCTGGCCTACTCCAATTATTGTTGGGCTTTTACCAGATCTCACTTAAATACCCTTCCTTCAGCACTATTATGGATAGATACTGGAGTCTCCCCCTGGCTCATAGCTTGTGGCTCTTGTGGTGATAAATAACACTTATCTTTATATTGCAGGAGTTATGGGGCATTGCACCAAAATCTTATTTTTCCCCATCTAGCAGCAGTCCCAAACAGTCAGACAGTTTCTGTGTCAATTTTCTAGTGACTAAGGTTTATTTATACAACCTACAATGTTGTCATAAAGTTTTGTTATTTAGCACCCAAGCTCCCGCAAGAGGATTTGAAATGGTTTATTATATTATGCTTATTTGTGTTTTTCTGTTTTGACTTTCTTTTCTTTTTGTTTCTGTTTTATCTGCTGGCCAAAAGCAGTAATAAATCACATTGAAATAGACAGGTGCATGTGTTTGCAGTTTGAGTCACCCAAGAGAGAGATGTTCATCAGAAGGAAGTAGCTAATGTGTACAATGAAAAAGGAAGGAAGATAGATCCAATTAAGACACGAACTTATATAAACTCTTGGAAAGTATTGATTTAAACATAAGTTCAATGTGGAATCTTCTCTTCATTAGAGCCTGTCTTCTTTGTTGTGAAATATAGATCAATACTATTGTTCTCAAATATTATGGATGTCAGGTTGAGGTTTAAAAGTTTTAATAATATAAATTCATGGCACACATGAGGTGCTTTTTTTTTAAAGTTCCTATTATTTACTTAAATTCAGGCATCCACTGTATAAATTAAACCAGTATTATTAATCCTATATTTAGGGATTGTGGTGTGAAATTAATTAAAATAATAGAAACCATCTTTCCCATATCACTCAATAAAATTAGAATAGTAAGCATTTTTTAAGGGACTCCC